TAAATAATAAAGGAGATATTTGTACAGCTTCGCGAATATTCATGACAAGAAAATGATGCGAATGGTCATTCAAAAGTTAATGATTGATGTACAACATGTTTGGCCAAGCGGCAAAAATCAGCTTATTTTGAGGAGTAAAAGTACTTTTGGTGAGAAGCAGTTTGTGTTTGGCTAATTAATTTAGAAAACACTTCTGAGCAGCAATTAGTATTTGGCCAAGCTTTAAAAAACTGCTTCTAAGTGTATTTTTCTCAAAAACATTTATCAAAAAAGTGCTTTTGGAGAGAAGCTATTTTTTTCTGCTTCTCCAAAAGTGCTTCCGTTTCTCTTCAAAAATACTTTTTTTCCTTCCAAAAGCTTCGCGAAACAATTCAATTTTTGGCCAAAAGTACTTTTGGCAAAAAAAAAAAGCACTTTTGGCCAAATAGGCTATTAATTTGCAAAGATTTGGACATGAGTATTTCAATGGGGGGAAAAATTAATTTTTGAAGTTAAGTTGAGAAAGGGGTTCTGTATACGATTAAAATCGGGCCCACCCGATTTTACTAATTTACCGTGACCAGTGTGAAGGATCGAAAATCGATCCCGTAATAGATCAAACCGAGGCACGAGGACAAGGTACTGAGTTCGAGATTCGAGGTACCTATCAAGATCGAGGCCTGTAGTGATTAATACGAAATGAGACAGACATCGAGCAAGATCGAAGATATCATAATAAGAGAAAGACGAGATATCCCTAACTGGTTGAAGATCATTGCGGAAATCTCGGAACGGATCAAATCAAGGACGGTTAATTAGCTAATCATGGGATTTCCTTATGTAACTAGAGTTATATCATAATTAGAATTCTTCTACTATAGGCAAAATACATAAGTTGTCGCCTGAACTATGACCCAAATCCCTGTTACACACTTTTCAAGAACGAATATTACTTTACACACCCAACATTTCCAAAGTGTATCTAAGACACACCATTTTTTTCTTAACCAGTTTTTCAGAATATGTGCAATATCACGCACCAATCAAACAGTGACACGTGTCATTTAAAAAAAAAATTTTAAAAATAAAATTACAATTATACCCCTCATCTTCCTCATCTAAACTACCATGGCAGTCTTCCTCCTCTCTTACCATCAAACACCATAGCTTCTTTCTCCACCTTTTACTTAATAGCAAAGCCACCATTAATTAACAAAAATCGCCAGAAAACATACCCAAAAACTCCATCTTTTCTGCTGAAATTGAATCAAAATTTTTGAGTCCAGATCCAACTTATTTTTCATTTCACTTCGGTAAAAGTTCGACCGCCATTAACTGTCATCGCCACAAGTCAACTATTTAAAAATCATCCATTAATAAAATTAAAGAATGTGCAAAATCTTGAGCTAAGCTTTAATGGTTGGAAAAAATTTCAAAAAATTCTCGCTTCCTAAAAATTTGACTTCGCCATGGGTAAAGCTCAAGTTAAGCTTCTCTACAACGAGAAGAGATATAAGAAATCGTGGTATATCTATTTGAGAAGAAGGAGATCGGGTGGTGGAGCTCAAGGAGTAGCTATGGCAGAATTTTTAAAAAGGAAGAAGATGACTCAATTTAAAATTTTAAAAAACTAAAAAGAAAATTGACATCTGACACAAAATTCTTCTGTTCACGCGACCCATTTGTTGGGAAAAACACGCACTATTCACGTGGGCAAAGCAGTGTGTATTAGATATACTTTAGAAAAGTTGGGCGTGTAAAATAATATTCGTTCCTAGAAAGTGTGTAACAGGGATTTGGGTCATAGTTCGGGGGGTAACTTATGTATTTTGCCTAAATAATTTAAATTTTGAAGGAAGTTTCAAATGTGCAATGAGTTCAAATTGATATTAAGAATTTACTGAAATGACATAGACACGGAAATTGATATTAAGAATTTACTGAAATGATCTTCGTTTTGGAAGGTGAATTGGATGTTGGCTTCGCTACTACTGCCAATGTAGTAATTTCAAAGTACATTACAAAGGATGAAGTTTTTGCTTTCCCTAAAGGACTTGTCCATTTTCAAAAGAATAATGGCAAACTCCCCTTGTGCCATATATTAGAGAATTTAAATTACGTGTTTGTTACTTTGTGCTTCTTTCACGAAAAAACATCATGCACATTGGTTTTCTACTGATTCTGTTTAACAAGATCTATCTCATACCCAAAGCTCACGTTTGGTTAGTGAACAGATAGTATAATATATGTTTAGGACAGCATATGTCAACAAAATAAAGAGAAGACTTACCTGTGAAGGAGCCGGAAATAAGTGAGCAAACTCCTCGGGATATTTCCTATTTTTATTTGAAATAAGCTTGTTAGTGCATTTAATTGTGATCTCATATTTGCCGTTTCTTGCACCCATTGTGGAGGTGGAGCACTAGTGCTAGCTGCACCCATATAAGAACAACCACCCCGTCTTGATGTTTGCTTGAATACTGCAGTTGGAACTGCACCTATGCCTAAACCTCGAACACGGCCAGGGTGCTCGGGATCGAAGACTACACCTAGCGCGTCATTCGGTAAAATTTCTGTCCGAGTCTCTGGTCTTTGTCTTTGAATTTCTTCAATTCTTTCCTACACGAGAGACAAAATATAATTACAAAAGCCTACTACAACAGATTATGTACTACAATGAATTAAAGAATTTTCTACTAAATGAAGATAAAAAGAAGTTATTAGCTTTATATTATAAACCAGAAAGAAGAAATAGCTAAAGATGCCCAAATATACATTCAGATTTCTTGAAAAAGTTATTAAGAAACAGATGTGTAGCCCAAAACACATCTAATCTGCTAAGAAACAAAAATATACATTCAGAAATGTAACAAGAATCAAGAAGATAGTGCAAAATCAAAGGGAAAGTTATTAAGTTTCTGACATCTTCATTTCCTACCTCAATTGGTAATCCATTAAAAGCAGCAATAAGCTGCAGCTTAGAGAAGTACGTACCTCAATTGGTCTCAAGCCCATGTTTAACTTCTTCCTTTATTCCTACTTCAGTCCTTGTACTACCTTATCCTTTCTGTTATCATTTTAAGCTAAGGCTACTATTTTCCCACTTCCAATTTCTCTCTCACAGAAACCATGTTATCAATGTCAGTTCAATCTAGCTTGAAAAGCAGTGTTACTATCCCTTCTTTACCTTCCCACAATTCCTCTCTTAAATCCTTTAGATGTTCTTGTTCCTTCTCTGTTAACAACACAGCTTCATCTTCCATTCTTAGTTACAAAACTAAACCAACAAGAAATATTCATAAGTTTTTTTGCTTCAGCTGCCACAGAAACAGAACCAGTTACAGCTGAGATTTCAACCTCTACAGTTCAAGAAATAGAGGTAAGTATCAACCCTTTAATTTTGATTATCTAATACCTATATATAGGATTTTATAGCCGAATCCATTTTAAATGTTCCTGGATATGTATGCGTAGTTGGAGCCGAAAACGATAGGTTCAACCTGGGCAGCTCTAAGAATGTATGCATAGTTTGAATACACTTCAAAGCTTCAATTTAATTCAAAATCTTACAAATTCTTTGTGTTTAAATATGGGAAGAGGTTTAGTTGGAATAGCTAATGCCAAAGAGAAGCTTAGACTAACAATTTCACCCAAAAATGGAAGCATTTCAACTCCAAAGGGTCATTTAGCAGTTTATGTTAGGTGAAACATATAGGAGATTTGTTGTTCCAATATCTTACTTAAATCACCCTTTATTTCAATATTTGTTACATTGGACTGAAGAAGAATTTGGATACAATCATCCCATGGGAGGTACTACTATTCCATGCAGTGAAGAAAGAATCAATTTACCTTTAAAAAAAGAAAAGTGCTCAAAAGAAAGGATAAAGTTAACTACACCTATCAAATATAATTTTGTCGACGTCGATCTCAATAGCTTTATCAGTTGTTTTAGATTCCTCAGCTACCTATCAAGTCCATAAATGATATTTAGGTTAATATTATCAGAACAAAACTAAAAATGTCAAAATTTAAACAAACACAAACTTAATTGAACAGAAAAGTAACAAAACTTGACATAAAAATAAAAGAAAAAAGAAATAAAACTATTAGCAGAAATTGACAGCTAAACCAGTGAAATCGATGCCCGAATCAATAAAATTGACTGTCAAAGGGTGAAATTGATGGCTTAAGCAGTGAATCGATAGCTAAAATCAGTGGTTTCAACTGATCGTCGTCCAATACACACACATGCACGCCGAAATCAATAAAATCAATGGCTAAAGCAGCAAAATCGAAACTTAAATCAGTGAAATTCACGGCTAAAATCAGTGGTTTAAACTGATATCCATCCAATACACATACATGCACGCCTTAAATCAGTGAAATCAACGGCATTTTGGAAGGATTTACACGAACTACTTGAAACCGGAGAGGTATTGAAGCGAGTATTTATCAAAAAAGGGCTATTTATAGATGAATTCAAACACATTACCTTTAACGAGGTGAAATTTGATCTCCTTACATAAAAGCTAAAGGATTTGGAAGAATCGTTAACGGATATGAGTGTCTTACATTGTTGTAATCTCCTTAAACGTATTACATTATAGTGATTTGGGGAAATCATTTGTTTAGAGAGAACGAGAGAGAAGGTGTAGAGAGAGAAGGTGTACCGTCTGTTTAGAGCTTTAGGTGTTTGAATGATATTTACGTTATCATTAAATAAAAATGTTTAGGGCTTTAGGAGTTTTTATGGAATAATAACATTAAATATTAGCGGAAAAGAATTATTAAAATTTTTATCTAATTAGTAGCGGTTTAGAACCGCCGTAATTGTAAAAAAAACGTCGGTTTAACATACGCACTAATGGCGTCTGGAACACCGCCGTATTATAATATATATTTCAGCGGTTTTAACGAACCGTCGTTATTTAACCGCCGCAATAATTCCAGTTTTTTGTAGTGTATATATAAATACATCTAAATACAACAGTCAAAAATCACTGTACAAAATAAAAATTAATGTATGCATTATCGAATACATATATATACATCTAAATACAAGAAGAGAAAATCACTGTATAAATATGTGCCTTATCGAATACATATAAATACAAGAAGAAAAAATCAATGTACAAACTAAAAATCTCAAACCTATTCCTAATCTCATTAGTCGCTACCACCGTCTCCTTTGTCCTTTCCTCTCCCATGTCAACATTCAAAATCAATTCAGCAAAACCATTGTATAGTGGATAAAATCTCCTCTATCAATACACCGGATAAAATCAAGTTGAGTTCTTTGATTTTATGGGTGATGGCGAAAAGGACCCAGACAGTAGCATCGGATGAGAAACAACGTTTGAAGGGAAAATCAAGGTGGAGTTTTGATATGTTGTTGCTGTTATAGTGCAAGTTTATAAGGGATTTGTCAACAAATTTTTGCCATCACCCATCTGCAAAATCTACTCTAGGGTTTGAGAACAATCTAGAGAGATAACTTGCAAATAAAGGAGAGAGTCGTGGTTCAACAATGGGGAAGACAATGGCACTGTGAGAGAGATCATGTAGAGAGAAATAAGATACTATGTGGTGATTTTGGGAGAGAATAAACTAAAAGAATGAGAGAAAAATATTAGACAATGTATTTAATGGCTTAATTATACGAAATGACCATAAATACATATTTTGCTATAAAATATAATATTTTAAAAGTGTTTTTATTTAGAATAAATAGGGTGTAAAGCTTTGGTATATGAGATAAAATTTCCTATTATAATTATGGTTCTGGATCAGGCATATCCATATTAGTAGGAATTTGCCTCGAAACAGTGAAACACTTGTACTATATATCTATAGAAATGAATTCTCCTTTTTTTTTTTTTTTTCTTGTTTTCTTTTAGCAGTGGAGTTATTTTCAATATTACTGAATATGGAAAAGCAAAAACGGCAGGATCCGCTCGTAAGGAAAAAATAAAATAAAAAGAAGTGAGAAAATTGATCAAGTAACAGAAGTGCTAGATTATAATTGAACCGGGACGGAATTTGAGTCATGATACAAATATTGGTACTGCGGAGAACTTCTGAACGAAGCTAACCAAAAACCAGGTGGCACAAGCTCCGCGCTAGATAGAAGGCTAGTCCTTGTGGGGGCGACTTCACCTGGACCCACTGTTTCTTTCTCCAGTTCCTAGGGGCCGCGTGTCACAAGCCAAGGACAAGGTACCTGACAATCCTAAGGCCTTTACTGACCAGCTGAAATATTACTCCACTTTGTATGTTAAATGATAAATCCTTTTATTTCTTTATATGCTTATTTATTTTACTTTTGGTAAAAGTTCTGCCTCCATCGTGCACTCGACCACTATCTCTTCCTCTCGTTTCTTCGTCACCCCATCAGACTAGAAAAAAATTAATGTCTGCTCAATTACATATTGTTATATTCCTTTTATGTTGTTTTGCTAAAAAATTTAGATATTGTTCTTATTTTAAAAGAAGGTGGTAAAAAGCTGTTAGATTGTACCTTGGCTATATTTAGTCACCGTGCTTGACCAAAGACTCGAGCGTTTGACTTGACTTTCAAACTTGTTACCCTGCTTTTGGGTAAAATTTCCATTCTTTAAGATAATAGTTTAATAGTGTTAATCTTTTGATAAAAACTTGTATAGTCAGGTGAAACATAATCACAAAACAAAACAGAGTACTACTAATTGAAGAAATCGTAATTTTGAAACATTGGATAAGTTCTACCTAGCATTTTCTCAGCTGATTTAATTATTAACAAATTTAAAAGGAGCCATACAAATATTCAATTTAATATGACAAAATACTGAAGTACTTCCAACTTACTTAAATGGAGAAGCAGCTGCAACGAAGCAACGCTATCTATAATAAAGATTTCTTCACCTAATCAAATATGTCGAGTTTGAGTACTAAAATTTACAAAAAAAGGTTGAACATTTTATTTTTTAGTTTTTAGTACTGTACTAGATTTTTTTGGTAAGAAAAACAAATGGAGAGAGTCGATTTTGTTTTTTTATATTTTTTGTCCAATAAGCAACTGCTGTAGATTGAGGTCGGCCCATAGAGTGGATAAATCCAATTATAACGTGGCGTTTTGATGATTTCTCTGGGGGGTACAATGGTCAATTTATAAAGTTTAAACAAAAGAAGAGACGGATAGAGAAGACCTTATCCATTAAGACCTTTATAAAAGCATATCAAAACTTCCTGCAAAATAGCAACACACAGTGAGAGTGAGAAAAGAGAGAGAAGTATACGTTGCACTTAACAGAGAGCAACAATTTCACAATCATCTATACATACACGTGTCTGTATGTATACACGTTAAAAGTTTTTTTTGAATTTCTTCGAAAATCATCAATGGCGGCTTCAAGGAGCTATTTCTCTGGAGCAAACTACCGATTCCTGTCGAGCGAGCGAGACGTTCCGATGATGAGTCCTGACTCGGCGTTCGAATTCGATGAATCGGACCTGTGGAACTCAGCGGTTTCACAGTCGCCGGAGTTCCGTAAGTCCGTTCAGAGTTCAAAATTCTCGAGAAAGCAGTGCGATACGAAGAGCCGCCGTAGCGGTTCCGTAGCATCGGTGGCGGCGTCATTGCCGGTGAACGTGCCGGATTGGTCGAAGATACTGAAGGATGAGTATAGAGAGTATGGAAGGAGAGATAGCGATGATGATGATTTCAACGATGAAGACGGCGATGATTTGGAGAATCGGATTCCGCCGCACGAGTTTTTGGCGAAGCAGTTAGAGAGGACGAGAATTGCATCGTTCTCCGTGCACGATGGAGTTGGCCGTACTCTTAAAGGTAGAGATCTGAGTAGAGTCAGGAATGCTATTTGGGAGAAAACTGGATTCCAGGATTAATTGATCTAACAATGAGGATTTTTTCCCGATTTTCTTCTATAATTTTACAAATATTGAACTTTTTTTTTTCACTTGATGAAGACGATTTATACATCTTCAAGTGCATCGCTGCATTGTGATTGTAATGTTTTTTCCAAAATTTTGAGAGAAAATAAAGACAAAGAAATTGATTCGATTTGGATTGCTCATAATAATGCTGTACTTATTTAATTTGCACTGTTGAGCTAAAGGTAGTTGTCCTCCATCTTCAGTTTGAAAGTAGAAAGTTGAACCAAAATTGCTTGGCGAAGTGAATGCAAGCAAATAAATGGTAACAAAGTATATACAATATTTATGGTCTAATTTGCTGGTAGTTTCAGATGACAAATTCACCTATTCACTCCATTTTCAAGGATAATTGAGTTCGTTCTACAAGTAATTAATTTAGTGATGAACACGTCACAATTTAAATTGTATTAATGGACGAGTTTCATATCCAGGCTAGGCTATATCAAATTAAGATATTCAAGTATTGTTTCGTTTTTCTCCTATTTCCTGTTAATTATGTAAAAGAAGATATTTGTTGTAATATGGAAGTTGAATAGTATGCAAACGAGTTGTACTACATTAACCAACAAAACAAAAGAGTCGTACTACATTTATCAAGAACACAAAACAACAAAAGGAAAAGAAAATCTAAAATATCACAAGCCACTTGGGTCAGTATAACCGTAAAGTCCATTTGTTAATCATTCGGAAGATATTGACAGTATACGGTTAAAATCGGGCTTACCCGATTATGCTATTTGATCGAGACAAGGGAACTGTATCGAGGGATAGCCCTGTAATGAATCAGATTAGAGCACGAAGACGAGGCATCGAGCCCGAGGATCAAGGTGCCTGCCGAGATCGAGACCAACAGCGACCAAGACCAAATGTGACAAACTTCGAACAAAGCGTAATAATGGAAAGGCAAGATATTCGTGACTGGCCGGAGATCATGGCGTAAATCTCAGAAGAGATCAAATCAAGAGTGGTTATCTAGTTAATCATGGGATTTACTTTCATAGTTAGAATTGTATCTTAAATAGGACTCATCTACTATATAAAGGGGGTCCTAATCATCTTCTAAACACCTTACATTCACACAGATCAAAGCAATACAATATTAATTTACATTCTCTTGTTTATCAACTTGTTGCATTTTAATTGTTCTTGCATAACTAGCTCGAGGGTATTCATGCTCGAGGGCTCCTTCCAAACGTTGATTTGCTTTATATTATTATCAATTTCCATCACTTATCTTTACGTTTATCAATTGGTATTAGGTGAAATCACATATTCTTAAAATCACATTATAAGTTTAATTATTATCCAATTTTTAGGGTAAATAGTTTGGCGTCTACCGTGGGGCTAAGGATAATAGTGATTACCTCACAACACACACTACTTTTATACTTGCTCTTGTAAGTGTCTTTGATTTCAGGAGTCAATATGTCGAACTATTAAGCAGTGCCCACTAACACGGATATAGGCCTTGGTCTTCATGGCAAGAACGAGCACATAGTCGCACAGAAAACGGAGTACCTCCAATCAATCCCAATGGACCACAGGCCGTATATCCAGTCGATACCAATTCTCGTGTCGCCATTCGTGAAGATTTAGGTGCCGACTCTGAAAATAGCGTCCGTAAAGACACCCGAGCAGCCGATCAGAATGCACATAGCGGTGAAGAAGGCGGGATTAGACTTCGAATGATATTTGACATGTTACAAACTCAGCAGGCAGGGATAGTGCAACTCCAAAATCAGAATCGAGCACCAAGCAGAATCGAACTCGATACATCACAGGAA